CGGATGCTCCCGGCGGCCTTGCTGTCCTCCAGCAGCTGGAACAGGTCAGCCAGGCAGGCCCACCCCGCGGGCACGTGATACTCCAGCACGTTCAGGCGCTGCCCCTGGAATCCAGACGGAGTGACCCCTGACACAGGCATCAGCACAACCCATCTGGGCTCCACCCACGCGGGCACAGCCGGCGAGGGTCCCTCCTGGTCCCCCGTGGGGAGAGGACAGTTTACCGCGAGGCGCACAGGACACGTGGCAACCCCGGCTGCGCCCCGCTGGCCCCCCCGGCTCTGCAGCCCCCGGGCGCGACCATCTCCGGGCCCCCTAGAGCGACTGGACAGGGTGTCTGCGGCCCACGCTCTGCCTGGCGGGACCTCCTCCTTCACAGCAGAATCGGTGGGTGACCGCGACAGGGCAGCCCCTCCCGGAGGCAGTGCAGGGAGAGCTGCTGGCCCCCCTGGAGCCAGGGTCCCGGGGCTCCGCTGCTCAAGGTAGGCAGGTAGAGCGAGGCCTGGACTCAGAGGCAGCAGGTCCCGCCAGTCCCGGGGGGAGGCTGTGGCCGCACTGCGTCCCTGGGGAGCGGCTAAGGGGGCCCAGGGGCCCTGGGAAGAAGGCAGAGGCCTTGGCCTGTCACCACCTCCGGCACCGAGGTAACGCTGGCCATTATCTTTCCGGGGGTCCAGGGAGCCAGCCAGGAGCTGTGCCCAGGACAGGGTGTGACTACAGTCTCCTTGGGGGACCCCAGGGAGCCCCCTTCTCAGCGCCACCAGCTCCGCCCGCTCACATCTGCAGGAGGCGGCCCCTGCTCTGCGCAGACAGAAGCGGAAGGAGCAAGCGCAGCCAGGGGAGCCTTCACTGCAGACAGACACTCAGCAGGGTCCCTGGCGCTACCTTCAGCCGGGCTCCCGGGAAGCGCAGCTGCAGGCGGTCGGAGAGCGCGCGCTGACTTCCTCCCGCGCAGACCCACACGCGGACGGTGTAGCCGGCCCCGAACCTGAGCACAGGGAAGCGTGGTTACTGCTCGGACCAACACAGTGCCGTCCGAGTCCACTGCTCAGGAGGCAGGAAGAGAAGCCACCACTCCAAATGCTGGGGTCTTGGAAGCTCAAAGCTATATTCCTGCCCGGCCAGTGCAGCTCAGTGGTTGAGCATCGACCTAGGAACCAGGAGGTCACGGTTAGGTTCCCAGTCAGGCCACATGCCGGGGTTGTGGGATCCATCTCCAGTGTGGGGAGTGTAGGAGGCAGCCGATCAGTGATTCTCTCTCATCACTGATGATTCTGTCTCTCTCTGCCTCTCCCTTCCTCTCTGAAATCAATAATAAAATATATTTGAAATATATCTATATATATAAAAGGCCTAGTGACTGACCATCTGTCTGTCTGACTGACTAGTACTTATGACACGCACTGGCAATTTAAAAATAAACATTGACTCGCACATGCGCGATACATGTAAAGCGTTCACTGGCGCCAATCACACGTGACCAACCGGCCGGTACATATGACATGCACTGGCAATTTAAAAATAAACATTGACTCGCACATGCGCGATACATGTAAAGCGTTCACTGGCGCCAATCACACGTGACCAACCGGCCGGTACATATGACGCGCACTGGCAATTTAATTTTGTATTTTAATCTTATAACACTATACTATATATACTATTTTGACATGTAATTTTTTGCAGTAACATAATTACCACACGAATCTTTCTTCTAATTAATTTCTTTTCCACGTGCACGAATCCATGCACCAGGCCACTAGTTTATGTATGTGTGTATATATATTCAAAAATTAATTATAGCTGCTATGTAGTTTGCTCTAATTCAACTTATACTGAATTAGAGCAAAAACTAAGTTAATCTTTTTTCCTTTTCTTTTTTAAAAAAATATTTTGTTGATTTTTTACAGAGAGGAAGGGAGAGGGATAGAGAGTTAGAAACATCAATGAGAGAGAAACATCTATCAGCTGCCTCCTGCACGCCTCCTACTGCTAATGTGCCCGCAACCAAGGTATATGCCCTTGACCGGAATCGAACCTGGGACCCTTCAGTCCTCAGGCCGATGCTCTATCCACTGAGCCAAACCGGTTAGGGCACTAAGTTAATCTTTTTAAAAAAAATCATCAAATCCTGGAAGCAACACCCATTTGATAGAGAGGAAGGTGAAAACGCAAACTGAGAAAGCGAGTGCTGAGGTGGGAGCTGAGCTGCTGGAGCACCCCCCCCTCCCTCTGTCACCCAGCAGGGCTGTCAGGTCTGCAGGGACCGAGGTGGCCGGGGAAGGACAGAGGGACGAGGGATGGGGAGCAATCAGCCAGCACGGCTGTCATTGAACCAGCCACCCACCCTGCCGCTGTGAGACCACCAACCCCAGGAGCCTCTACGGCCCCAGGCAGGGCAGCCTGAGGAGCTGCAGGGGGCCCCCCTGTGACCGAGGGCCACAGCTGAGGAATCAAACAGTGACCTCCCCAAATCCACGGGCCTCCCACAGCCACGTTATCCCACTGCTACAGGCCAGGTGCCGGGCCTGGGCGCAGCACAGCATCTCCACGCTGAGGCAAGTGTAGCTTCAACGCCTGTATTACAAGTAAGAACAGTCACAGGACAGTAACCGAGCCCTCACCAGGCACCAGCCAGGGGGAGTGAACTGAGCCTGCTCAAGAAGCAGCGCGGAGATTGTGGAGATCAGGTCGGGCACCAAGGAGCCAGAAAGAGAAAATCAATGAAACAAAAACCTGGTTCTTCCCAACGACCAGCAAAATTCACAGACCTCTAGCCCTACTGACCGAGCAGGACGACAGGGACTCCAACTCCAGGATCAGGAGCCAGGGCACTCCCAGCCTCATGGGCGGGAGGGAGGAAGGAAATGAGCGGCTGTGTCTCCAGGCACCGCTGTTAGCGACACACGCTGCTGAGCCCGACTCCAGAAGAAGGGAAGGAAACAGACTCCAACAAGAGAAGAGGTGAAGCTGGTGGTTTCAACCACCCAGGAAGGAAGTGCCAGGCGAGGCGACTGACTGAGTAGAAGGCAAGTTTCTCTCCAGGACACGAAGGAGAACCCACACGGACGTTACACGTCATGCGGGAGGGCGACCGGCCCAGCAACACCCACCCGGGCCCGGAAAGGTGACCTTCGCGCCCCAACACGGCGTCACAGGCCAAGCACCCACAGGGCTTTCTCCATCAGATAAAAGCGTATTAACCTGACACCTATGGCTCTTCAGCACATCTCTGCTCACCAATTAACGTTAAAAACATCGAACGAAAACAAGAAGAGATGTATCGACTTAACAATGAACAGATATAAAAAACAGGTTAAACAAATGAAAAGGAAAACAGAGACTGAACACAGTTTAGGCACACCGAGTTTTTAAGAAGTTATATTGGGACACAAAATACTCACAGAAACTGATGACAAAATCACTAACATTCCAACAAGGAGCGGAAAGAGGACACGAAGAGGCTGAGCCAGGGGCGCCTGCGCGAGGCGT